GTTCAATCAAACATATTTCATCTTAATTTATCAAGAACTCTATTTTGTAAAGAACTTTTCACAAACTCATATATTCTTCATTCTTGGTAGAAGTTTTCTTTACCAACACTTTGATTTAAGTGTAAATCTCTCTTCATACTTAATTAGCATTATTTGTTAAGAGAGATCATTGGTTTGAAAATTTTGATACAAAAATACAAATTATTTCATTATCAATTAGTCATCAAAGTTTTCATCATAAACAGTTGAGCTTTATTATTTGCTATCTATCGAAGTGTTATCCTAACTCTCTAAATACATGACTTAATTATATCATTTGTTAAGAGAGTTCCTTCTATTGTAAAATTATCATTTATACTTTAATGATTTCGAGAGCCTTGTGGAAATTCGATTGTTTTTAAGGATAAATGCTCCTTATTGAAAGTCACTGAAGGATATGTGCTCCTTGTTGTAAGTCACCTAAAGATAATTGCTCCTTGTTGTAAGCCACTTAAGGATCGGTACTCCTTGTTTGTAAGTTACCATTATAGTGCATTTGGTTTTAGTCGTGACGGAGAGCTTGGTAACGGGACGTAGAACACATTGTGTATCGAACCCCATTAAATTGGTTTGTTATCTTTACATTATTACACTTTACTTTACATTGCCATTTATATTGTGTTATATCCGTACTTGAATTAAGTTATCGAACTTGCATATTTAGTTCTAGTATTATTCTTTGTATTCATACCTTTTGTATTGAATTGTTTTAAGACTAAGTGTCGAAGAAGTTTCAAAAATCAATTCACCCCCCTCTTGGTTAGTTATTATTAGGTTATCAGTTTAGACATTTTATGTTAAACTAGATTCTTACTTAGAAGTAAAACACTATGACTGTCAGTAAAAATTATAGGTGATGCATGCTAAAAATTCAATTCACTTAAAGTTCCTTTCAACAGTATGCACTCTTTTACAAATTCAGTGATTGCCATATATTCAACTTCATTGCTAGATAAAGTGACAATGGATTGAAGTTGTGACTTTCATGTGATGCAATTATTACCAAGTGTGAAAAAATAGGCAGTAGTAGACTTTCTTTGGTTTTTGTGTCTTTTTAAACACTAATCCTTCCTTTAGTGT